CGCATATAACTCCGGCCCTTCGGGCTCGCGTGTAACTCTAGCCCTTCGGGCTGGTATTACCGAGTATCCCAGATTCACAGATATTTGTCGTGGAGGCGCGGGATTGATTGAAATAATGTCAGATTTTTCTAAATTACATTGAAATATCGAAAATTGGAATTCTGTTGTGTAATTTGTGAATTATTATTTTAATTAGGAATGAGGAATAAAAAACTGAGATTGAATTTTCAATTTTTTGGGGGAGGCCTAGCCTTCCCTACCTCCTCTGACAAGCCGCCACTGTGAAAATTTGTGTACAAGTTGGTCAAAATTCCGGAAAAACTCTTAAGATCTACTCAAAATCACTGAAAATCTTTAAAATCTTTTAGCCTCCTCACTAGAAATAGCCACGAGCCGCCACTGCACCATTGTTAGGAAAAAACCAAGGAAATAATAGTTTCCAGTTTCCACTTGTCAACAAACCAGTGTCAACGGCTGTCAACCATTGTTTTCATGCTCTTCTGACGCCTGACGCCAGAGAGAGAGGCATTAATTTGAAAAGGTTAATTAGACAAAAGTAGCAAATATTGATTGAATATTTCAAAATCTATCAGCTTTAGAAAAAAGTGTTCAATACAAAAGTTTCAGGATTTCTTCTTCTCTACAAAATGACGTAATTGTTACTTCGCACGGCTTTTAGTTGTGTTTAAATTTTCCCTTTATATCTCGGAAACGAACAAAAATTTGGCAACCTTGTGAACTTACCTTCAATGGACACTAAAATCTGCCACTTTTGTCTAATTCAACCGATCTCATACCTCATACCTTTTACCGTTTCGGAGATAATAGCAATAGTGGTATCACTTAAAACAGACACCCTGTATACAGGTTTGCCGTTATATTATATAGAACAGGTTTAATATTCCAGAACGCGCTTAAGAAAAATTACTTAATGAGAAAAATGTACAACACTTCTTACATGAGGGTTTTTGGGAATGCCCGATTCAGTGGTAGTATTGGCAATGTTGTCAAGTTTACTTTTTCAAAAATGCCGTTCGAGCCTTAATTTTGCTCAAATGAAAATCCCTTCTTATCTCTATTGTAGTTAAGTGAGCGTCCCAACATTACCAAACCTCCATTTGAGTATTGGTTTTTGAAATATGACAACACAGCTTTTTTGTTGAAATGTACGGAAACGTCGTATTTCAGGAAAGGCTTTAGAAAAATGTGATCAAGATTTATAGTGGAGTATGTAGGAAATATTAGGTTTAGTTTAGAATCAGTTCTGAATTGAACTGCGCTTGCGCATTGGCTCATATCGAACATAATACATATACAAAAAAAACTGTGTAATACCCTATTTCAAAAACCCAGTCAAGGAGGTTTGGCATGTTTAGCAAGTTTAGTTGGGACGCTGAGTTAATTTCAATAAAAAAAATACAGTGTGTGCTTAATCGGTGCTTAAGACCACACGACAAAAGCGGAAACTTCAAAAATCAACAAAAAGGTTAAATAAACAAATATCACAGGTGCTTGACCATTGCCGCCATATTGAATCCTGGCATTTGAGGTTTGGATCCAGATGATTTAAAAGAGGTAGGTTGCCTGCTGTAACGGATAGAGATATTATTTTCTCTGTCTTTATTGACGTCTCCTCTCTATTTATTTTGACAAGAGAGAAGAAGACATCAAGTGGCATAGCAATAGGGATTACAATCTTTATCCGTTACAGAGTCTCAGCCCTGGCTCCCGGACTAAACGTAGTTCTTTGACATTTCGAAAATTTAGTATTTTAGAAATAGCAGAAACTTTATCTGGGTTTGGAGCAATACCAAAAGAAATTATTACATAACCGAGGTAATTGACAGAAGAACAAGAAAATTTGCATTTCGAACGGTAACTGAAGTTTGAATAATTTTAAGCGATCGAAAACTTTTTGTAAATCACTAACATGAGTTTGATAAAATCATCGAGATACGCTAATATGTTAATATCTTGAAGTCTAGAACGAAATCTATTAATTATTAGTCTTTGAAATGTAGACGGAGCATATCGTAATCCAAATGGCATCCTTGTAAATCTAAAAATTACAAAAGGACAGTGGCGGCTCGTCAGAGAAGGCAGGCGAGGCTAACGATCTCTATCCGTTACAGAGTTGCAGCTTTAATAACTTTTATGACGTCATCTATTTGCGAATAAAAGACCAAGGTTCATAAATTTAATGTCTGGTAATGGGTAACATGATGACGCATTTATGGAGATTTGCATTATATTGAGCAATGAAATTGTTCAGGCACCCCAAATGACGTCATAAAGTTATCAGGCAACCTACCTCTCTCAAACAACCTTGATACCAGACAACCTTTTACAAACAATAATTAACATTTTGCCAATAATATAGGCAAAAGTTTGTTTCAGGGGGAGTCTCGATTGCATCTAAAACGCGCTATCTCTCTCACTCGCAGTGCTTACTGTTTCTCTCTTTTTTTCGCTTGGCTGAACTCGACTTGAGCCAAGTGATGAGTATTAACATTTCGGGCGTGATGACACAATCTTATTCACTACCCAGACAAATTTTGTTGCTAAGCATTTAAGGAAGTTTTCACTTCAATATGAAACAATTAAATTACATACGACATATTAAAAAATCATGAATTTGGCAACATTGTAAATACCACCATTGAATCGGGCATTCCCAAAAACCGCCAGGGTCTTTAGTCTCGAAACAGAGAAGCAGCATGATAACGAAGGTTCTGTCGTCCATAATCATATTTCCATAACACTGACAAAGACTCATGAGAACGCTATTTTTCGAGAATAGACATCCTGGTAGGAAATATGAAATATTGTGCAATTTTCTTAGGTGCGTTCTGAAATATTAGGTCGTTTCCATGCATAACGACAACTCTGTATAAATCGATTTGGTTCCTGGTGGGACACCCTGTATATGCCGATATTTTTTCATAAAGATTTAACGGGCGATATATCGATAATATTAAATTATTTTGCCATCCTACTAACACAAAATAATCTCAGTTTCAGAAAGAACAATTTGAACCAAGGTAAAGTTAACTGGAATTTTTATTTGATAAATGTGGATCTATTTAAGATCGTACCACCTTGACATATTCCTCATTGGATTGGGAATTTTTTGTTTAATTGTATATATGCACATTTACCGTCATCAGACGAAAATACATTGACGTTTTTGACAGAAGTGTCAGATACAGAAGTTTTAAGAAATTGTGAAAAGTTTTTAAGTTAGTTAAGTCAGTTTTAAGCATACAGGACGCGTCAAAAAAGTGTAGCAGTGCGAAGTTATATTCTTTTAAATAGTTCACCCTGTATATTGCGCGCTTATTAACATGAGACCTAGGAAAGGATTTTCGTTTATAGGTATTGAAGATGAACCGAAAGATAAACATATCAAACTGTATATCGTTGAAATCAGGTTGAAGGGGACTTATGAATAAGCGCACAATATATGGTCTTCCATTTAAAAAAAAAAATACAACTTCGCTCTGCTACACTTTTTTTGATGCACCCTATATGCTCAAAACTGACTTAGTTGAAAACTTTTGACAATTTCTTCAGTATTTGACACTTTTGTCAAAAACGTCAATTGAAAAAGGTAGGAGGGGGTAAAATTGATAATAGATCACCCTGTACCTACTACTTGCTATGACTTCCTAGAGTTCCTAGTCGTTAAAATTGATTTTATCAAACATATAGTGGTGAGGTAAGAGGTAAGTTTGAACCATTTTGATATGCTCCTTTATTCCTCTTTGAATTGAATTTATTCTTGAAACAAAGGAGCAGCGTTCTCAGAGAAACGAGTGTTCCGTCCTTCTCAATGATAAGCAAATGATAATATGAGTAACAAAGACGGAACATTTGTGCTCCCCTGTTTCAAGAATAAGGACCCTGATGGCGTAAGGGGAGTATGAGCAGTGCGTCAGCGGCGACTGGAGGTGGATACGCATTACGCACACGCTTGATTAGGAGACGGCAGGAGGGGAAATGGATGCGTAGTGTAGCCTAATATAGGTCTTTCAAATGAACATCTCACGGGCCATTTTTAATGCAATAGAATGAAATGTCTAGAAAAAGTCTAGTCTAAGGTTAAATAGAGAACGAATACGATTTTCCCTGTTCCACCTCCAGCATGAAGCGCTGGGAAAATCGTGTCCGTTCTCTATTTAACCTTATAGAGATTTTTTCTAGTCATTTCATTCTATTGCATTGAAATTGGCTTGTAAGATGTTGACTATTGTTACACCAGTATATAAATATATATGGGAGCAAATGAACCCGGGTTCAATTCTCGTTGGGGTCAATATCTTATTAAAAATAAATAGTTATAATTTTAATTGTCTAGAAAAAAGTTTTACTTTTATCATGCGTCACTTGACGCACAAAATTTCAAAGAAAAATTTATATATCAAATGTACATCAATAATAATTTCTGTCTAATTTTTGCCACACCAACCCCTGAGGGTCGATTTGCTTTCGCCTAATCATTACAGGGTAGGTACGTCCCTGAGGGGGAAAATTGCTTGGCCGCTGGCCAGGCTAAGACCCGCAGTCTTTCATCGACCATTACTATAAATCTTAGCTTGGAAAGTGGTCGACGTTTTTCTTCGCAGTGATTTTTGTATTTGAAAAAAAAAAAAAATGACAGTGTTTGGAATAAGCGTAATAGACAGATACAAATGGTACATTTTTAGTTTAGATTTTAATGTTGTAGCATGTTTGAGTGTTGTTTTTCTTAGAGTAATTTTTTAAAATTAGAAAATATGACGTTTATATACGTTAGTCCGTTGCATGAAGATGGTTACGGCGGTTATATCGAAAATGGTTTAAATGGAGTAAATGGTGTCAACCGCCAGGCAGGGTAACAGTTTTAATTAAGTATAGTAAATATTTTCCATAACTATAGAAAAAAGTCGTGTGGCGTGCTAAGATTATCGATTTTGGTCACTATTGCGTTTTTACATAGGTACATCGATTTATTTTTGCAGTTTGCCGCCTCAGCAACAACCTCCTCCGGAAGAAGTAGCCAAAGAAGAACCACCTCCAAACAGATGCAAAAGATTTTTGGACACTTGCACCAAAGCGTTGAGATGCCAGAAATGCAAAACTATACCCAAAATAGACAAAGTTCAAGAGGAAGTGACTAAAAATGGTTGTTTTAAGTGTTTTGAGAGAAAAAAGGCAGATGAAGCAACTGCTACAAGGTAAAATATCTACTTTAAGTTTATGCTTGAAAATCTGTATTATCAAAGTTTTTCTAATTAAAAGGGCGGAACAGGTGAGGATCAGCATTGAAGACGAAGAAGGCAAAGAAGTCAAAAAGCCAAATGTCTGGCAAAAATTGAACTGTTGCAACAAAAACAAAATTCGAGACAGTCAAAGCTGCCTGCCTTTGGGCAAGAGAAAAGAAAGCTGGGTGCAAAGGAAATCGACCACTGAAAGCTTTTTGGATTCTGAAATACAACAAAAGTAAGTATTGGTTCTTGTTGCAAAGACTTTGATGATGTTTAATTATTATCCATATATTCTAGAACAAAATGTTGTTCGAAACAAGGTTGTGGCAATTTTTTCCGGAAAATGTTCTGCCGCAAAAAACCCGAGCCGCTTCCTACGGTTCAGCAACGGAAGGCGTCGATGATGAGCAACAAAAAGAAGAGCCTGACGCCGACGAGCGTGCCGCCCCCGCCCGAAGACACCAAACCGAAAATCGACGGTAGCCTTGTTGAGCACACGTCGCACATGAAAGGGGCGATTCCGGTACTGCCCGTTTGGTTGGCTTGGTTTTGTTGTATGATGAACTGTTTTGGACCTGGTACAGGTATGAATCTATCAATGTTTTCTATTCTTCTTAAGGTGCCTTATACAACATACAAGTCATGTTGCGAGAATTCTGACATATTCGTTTCGATCTTGCGCAGCTCTAAAAAGTACAGTAGGTTTTTCCAATCTCTTATGTTTTTCAGCCACGAATATTTCTTTCTTCTGACGCCTCTCTTTCCCTCGATCTTTCCGCCCATCATCAACTTTAGGAATTGATACTTGGAATTTCTCAACACTATCTCTCTTTTCTTATTTTATTCAGAACTTCTTCGTTCGACATAAGATTCGTCCACGGAATTTTTAGTATTCTTCTAAATACCCACCTTTTAAAGGATTTGAGTCGGTTCATGACACTGGCCTATATATTGTCCATGTCTCCACTTCATAGAGTACGGAGTAAATGTAGCATTTTACAAAACGATACCGTTACGTCAAGTTAAGAGTTAAGACTAGTGTTAAGAAGAGCTCTCTTATTCATAAATGTTACCTGGGTGGTTCAGAACTATTATACTAAAATTTCGGATTTTTCCAGTGGAAAACGAAAAAATGGAAAATTATTTAGAATCAACCTTCAAAAAGCTGGAAAACTACTGAAGCGAAAATTTTCTTAGTAAAAAGTGGAAGGTTCAGACTGGCTTTCTCAATTCTGTCCACTGGCGTAACTAGCCATCTGATCTATTAGGCGGGGCCTGGCAGAGGCGCCGATTTTTGAAAGTCCTCATAGGCGCAGGATAATATTTTTATAAATTTGTTTATAGAAGGAGGGAGGAAGCTCGCCGTAGGCGAATTTTTTTTTTCCGGATGCCACGCCTAAAAACGTCTATTTTATAGTGTATATATTTTTCTATTTTTTTTTTTCTACGAGCGTGCGAAAAGTGCTTTTTACTGCATGTTTTGAAGTATATAATCGAAGGACCATTCCACGTATTTACGAAAATAAAACCACTGCCAATTTTAACTATTAAACCTTTTTAATTAAGAAAAAGCTTGTAGACAGCGTCACGTAACTTAGCGTGAAAACATAATACAAGTGTACTGTAAAACACCATAATTATTCTTAAAACTTATCGGACAAAACGGTTAAACAGAATAATCGGTAAAAGACAATAATTATTAATTAATAATGAACCGACCAGTTGGACGAACCGACCAATAGTAACGACTCTTCTCTTGACGTCACGGATCAATAATAATCGACTGACTTCTCCCATGTTGCCAACTCTTCCTCCGCGGTTCTGTGTTCTGTCATTTTTGTCGGGGTTGCCGGTGCATATAATTTTATACGTTTTAAAGGAGCATATTGTTAGCGCGAACATGTCCCCCGCCTTAAAGGATCTGCCTTTAACAAAAAAAAAAAAAATAGCAGCACTAACAATAGAAACAAGAGTCACACAGGAAATAGTCGCAGTCAATCTCAAAAGTTAATTGCAGTTTTTGTTTTGAACTGGTAGAGGACATATTTTAGTAAAGTCCCTTTTTAATGTCCCATTTGCGGTATAAATTTCACACACACGCGATACATGGTCTTTGCCGGGAAACAACTTTGACACTCTTCCTAATCGCCAATTCAAGGGTGGTAACTTATCGTCCTTAATGAGCACCAATGTGCCCACTTGTAGTTCGCCGCTGCTTATTTGCCACTTTGTACGTTGCTGCAACTCAGAAATGTACTCCTTGTACCACCGTTTCCAAAACAGCTGGCGAAGTTGCTCTAGACGTTCGTATCTGGACAGACGGTTTTCATTGAGATGACTCAAATCTGGTGATAATACTGTGTTTACAGGTCTTCCAACAAGAAAGTGAGCGGGTGTCAAAGGTGAAGGATCTAATGGGTCAGTTGACAAGGATGAGAGAGGACGGGAATTGAGAATTGCCTCTATCTGGCAAAGTATGGTTTCCAACTCCTCCCATATACAATGCGAATTGCCCAAAACTCTTTTCAAATGAAATTTCATGGCCTTAACCCCGGCCTCCCACAGACCTCCAAAGTGTGGTGCATATGCTGGCCCAAAATGCCACTTTATACCTTGATTATTAATAGAATCATTTAAAGCCCCTTCATTTTTAACGAAAAATTCTTGAAGCTCCAATAATTCTCGGTTTGCCCCAACGAAATTGGACCCGTTATCTGAATAAAGGTGCGTCGGTTTCCCTCGACGGCTAATAAACCTTCGTAAAGCTAAAAGAAACCCCTCCGTGGAGAGATCAGAGACCAACTCCAAGTGAATCGCCTTAGTCGCGAAGCATATAAAAAGGCAAATATAGCATTTTATTAACTTGGAACCTCGCCCGCGTTTATTCAATATAAAAACCGGCCCGGCATAATCAATTCCACTCACCTGGAACGGAAAACCTGAAACAAACCTATCTTTTGGAAGACTACCCATCTTAGGCTTAAACCTATAACATCTGAAACAGTTATGAACCACCGATTTTGCCAAATTTCTGGCTGATATGATCCAAAAATTTTCGCGCACACTATATAGTAACTGTTGCGATCCCGCATGCATTAATAATTTATGTTCAGCTTCAAATATCAACTTTGCAATATGATGTTTGGCGGACAGCAACATTGGATGTTTTTTATTATAGGGTAAATCTGAATTTCCTAAACGACCACCCACTCGAATTATTCCAAACTCATCCAAAAATGGATTTAAACTCAAAATACTGCTTTTATTGCTTATTTTCCCTTTTTTCATCAAATCGTCATATTCATATGGAAAAGACACGCATTGGGAAAGTTTTACTAAAAACTCCATAGCTTTTTCCAACTCCAATGGTGACAAGACATCGCAATTCCGATTTTTCTCATTAGTAAGGACAGCAAGACAATTAGTTTTGAAACGTAGAACATATGCCATACATCGTTTCAATCGCATTAATGTGCAAAACTTTTTGAATGGAAACTCTAAGTATGAGGAAACTGACAACAAACAATTGACCTTTAATTCGGGTGAATCAATATTCGTTTCAGCTTTATGAGGTTTTGGCCACATCGTTTCATCATGAACTAACCAGGTCGGTCCATGCCACCATAAAGTTGAATCGGCAATTTTTCGTGGACTGACACCCCTACTGAGCAAATCGGCGGGATTTTCAGAGGTGGATACATAATTCCAGTCGGTAACATTGGTCAACTCTTGTATTTCAGCCACCCTATTTCTTACAAACGGTTTTAACAAATTAGCTGAAGTACTAATCCAACCTAAAATAACCTTAGAATCAGTCCAGTAAAACCGTCTATCGAAATTAATTCGCAAAGAAGATACAACCTTAGTGACCAATTTAGCCAAAATATGAGCGGCACACAATTCTAACCCAGCAATAATAATAGGTTTGATTGGTGCGACTTTCGTTTTCGAGCAAAGTAAATGGGAAAATTTTTCTCCTTCACTATTTTCAGACAAAATATAGACACACGCCCCATAAGCAATCTCACTGGCATCTGAAAATGCGTGTAACTCGATACGCACTGGATTCAAACAAATAACATGTCGCTGAACCTGTAGATCATTTAAACATGGAAGGGCATTGATGAACTCATTCCAAGAACTCTCTAATTAAGGAGAAACTTTATCGTCCCAGCCTAATTTTTCTTGCCATAATTTTTGCAGCATGACCTTAGCCAAAATAACACATGGACTCACCAAAGAAAGGGGATCAAACAATTTGGAAATGCAAGACAACATTGTTCGCTTAGTCAAATCCTGATTACTAGGCATCTCGCTAGGCACATTAATTGTATAAGCCAATTTGTCAACCCTACTAAACCATACTAAACCAAGAGTTTTGGTGACTTCACTCTCACCGAATTCCAACTCTTCTGACTGATCTGCGTAAGCTGATGTTTTTAAATTTTCCAAAATTTCTGGGGCGTTGCTTCGCCATTTCCTCAAATGGAAGGCACCTGATGCAAGAACATTCGCCAATTCGACACAGCTACCTTTAGCAATCTCCTTATCTTGAAAACCAGTGAGTACGTCATCGACGTAAAAATCATGCTCGATTATTTCACTAATTGCTGGTTTTTCAACCTGGCATTCTTTTGATAATTCAAACAAACAACGAATCGCAAGGAACGGAGAACTAGTTAAACCGAAAGTTACTGTACACAACTCATAAATTAACAACTCTTGATCGGGTTTATTCCGCCATAAAATGCGTTGAAGTTTGCATTGCTCTGATGTCACCCTCACCTGATTATACATCTTGGCTACATCTGCTGTTACCACATAAGCATGTTGCCTAAATCGCAATAAAATCGCCCAAAGATCGTCTTGAATGACAGGCCCTTTCATTTGAAGGTCATTCAACGACACGCCACTTGTCGTAGGCGCTGAACCATCAAATACGACTCTTAACTTTGTAGTTTTGCTTTCTGCTCTATAGATACCATGATGGGGCAAGTAATAAGCCACATTCATTGTGCCGACATTTTCTAACTCAACTTCACGCATCTGACCCAATTCTTTATAGCTCTCCAGAAACTCAGTGTACATTTTCTTAAAGTTTTAATTTTTATTAAATTTTCTTTCTAATGAATAGAAACGACGTTTAGCTTGGTCTAAAGACTCCCCTAAACACTCAACTGGTCTTTTAAGAGGTATCAAAACTTCAAAGCGACCATTCGAAAGACGCTTAGTATTTTTTACAAAATGAGCCTCGCATTCGATTTCTTCTGCAGACCATTGACCCTTAGCGGGGACGTCTTCAACTTCAAAAAACCGTGCCAGTTGGGTTTGAACGTCACAATTATTATTTTCTATATTTTTGGAGAAATTGCAAAATGTTTTATTGTCGATTTTATTACCCCATGCGACGCCACTGACTCTTCCCGAAATAACCCATCCCAGCTGAGTTTCTGTTAAAACTGGATTGTTTAAACCCAAACTATATTGTCTAGTACCTAGAATATTCCAGAACAAATCTGCACCAATAAGAGCATCCACTGGCCCCGGTTTGTTGAAGTTTTCATCCGCGAGCTTTAAATGATGA